AAACCTGATGTTAACAGAACTTCTGGGCTTTCTGGCTGAGGAGGCAGAGTGAGGGAAAGGTTCCCGAATAGCTAGCCCGTTTCAGAATGGTTGCTGAAGTGATGGCTGGTGTCCTCTTCGGGGGCAGCTGAGGATTAATGGGCTTACTACTCAGCGAGAGACAACAGAGAGTATCCTCAGTGAGCGGGGGCTCCACAGTCAGGGTGTCCTATCCATCACTCCAACTCCTGGGCCTCAGCTTCCTCATCTTTTAAAAAAGATTTTATTTTATTATTTATTTTTAGACAGAGGGGAAGAGAGGGAGAGAAACATCAATGTGTGGTTGCTTCTCGCATGCCCTCTACTAGGCACTTGGCCTGCAACCTAGGCATGTGCCCTGACTGGGAATTGAACCAGTGACCCTTTTGTTCACAGACCGGTGCTCAATCCACTGAGCCATGCCAGCTGGAGCTTCCTCATTTTGAAATGAAACTCTTGGGTTAGGTGACTGCCCAATATGCCTCCCAACTATAAATTCTGTCCTTCATGAGAAGACACGGAGAGAGCCCTTGTCTTCAAGAACCAGGAATGGAAATAAGGAGGCTCAGACAGAGCACACCAGTGTGGAAATGTACTGCTCAGATAGCAAATGTGGAGAGGAGGGGGTGAGCTGGGGCAGCTGGGCAATACTTGGGGAAGCTCAGAGTTGGGGCCTCGGGGATAGGGCTGAGTGCAACCAAAGTCTCTGATTGGGACACAGGCAGACTCTGGCTGTGGTGATGATGCCAGATCCACAGGTACCCAGGTGTCTCCCCATTCTCACAGTGGCACCGGGCATCCTAGGTCGGGAGCTGCTGGGGCCTCAGAGACTTTGCTCCTTTTGAGCTCGGTGGCTGTCTGCCTCTTTGGGCCACTGAGACGCTAACCTGCGGGCCTCGAGAGAAGGCTCAGCCAGCATCTTGAACTCATTTTCCAGCATGAGGGGGTCTGGTTTTATGTCACAGTCCAAGGCACGTGTTTACTCAGCTTCTCTGCTCCCCAGCCCAAGGAAAGATAACTGAACTTGATGGATAACCACTAATTGGATCATTACCTTCATTTCGAAATGATTGCCCCCGGCCCCTGGGGGCATTAGTTCTGAGCTGGGGCCCCCAATTCAGCCCAAGGCAGGCTGCGGAGCAGAGGATGGTTCCATCAGTTCAGATCCCGGCAGCACTCGGACCCCATGAGGACTTGCAGCTGTGCTCCTGCCAAACTGTCCCCTCCACACAGCCCGCTCCCCAACCCCTCCTGGACTCCATGTACTCAGCCAGTCAACGTGCACCTTGCTCCTGCTGGCATACCTTCTCAAGTGCCCTCTGGCCCTTGAGTCCGGGGCTCCCAGGGAACGCCAGTTCGCACACCCCTCCTCTCTGCCTTTCTGAGGACCCCCTCCCTCGGTGCTCCACCTCCCCGGTTCTTTTGTACACAGTTTATTTCCCCAGACAGAGAACAGGGTCCTGGAAGGCAGGCTCACCTTCCGTTCCCTTGGCACCCTGGCATTGCTGGCACTAGGCTGGGCACACTGTGGTGGCTTGTTGGTTGATTGATGCTATGGGGCAGGAGGCCCAGGCAGGAAGGGAGGGCAATTGATTCCAGCTGAGGAAGAAGCGGGCAGGCGCAGGCTGAGGGCGATGGATGCCGGGAGGGTGGGGGCTGGAGGCTCAGTAGCGCTGAAGGAGCCCCCGTACCTCTGCCCTCCATGGCTCACACCTGCGAGCCTGGGTTAAAAAAGTAGTTTACAGAAGAACTCTCTCTGAGAGTGATTAAAGAAATGACCATAACTCCTGGGATAAAATATGACAGCCATTAAAAGTGCTTTGAAGAATGTTTAATGATGTAGGGAAGTATTCATACCAAATGAGTGAAAAAAAAGGTCACGAAAGATAATGTACAATATAATTCCATCAAAAAATGTTAAAACATACAGATAGGAAATCGGTGGCTGACATGCACTGGGCCCTATGGCATGCCCTGCATTGTGCTATGTCATCTCAGGCAGTCTTCTTACCAATCTTAGGAGCTGGGTGCCAGCTCATTTTACATAATCCTATTCTATATATGTGGAACCAAGGCACGGAAATGAAGTACCTTCCCCAACTTTCTGTCTTGAAGCCATTAGAGCTCTGAGTTTATTCTGGTGCCTGGAGAGTCCTCACACAGAAGAATCAGGTCAAAATTGTCTAAAGCCACGTTCTATGGAGAGATGTTGGAGGTCTGCTGTGTAGAGGAAGGGTTGGCTGTGCTCGGTGTCTCCCCAGGTTGGGGGCGGGGAGGCCGACTGTGGCTGACTAGGAGGAGGAGCAACTTCCTGACTGCTGCTGGGCAGGGAGGAAGCCTGCAACCCTGGATGTGAGTGAGAATGAGCTGGGGAGGGGATTTCACGTTGGGATGACCTCTGAGGACTTCTATTCCTCACAGTCTAGGAGAAGTGCCAACCTGGGAATGAAATCAGGGCATTCCTTGGCCAGGAACCTGGGCAGAGAATCCAGGGACTCAGGAGCTGTTCTTTTACCCCTATTATGGGCTGAATGTTTGGGTCTCCCCAATACATATGTTGAAAACCTACCCCTCAATGTGATGGTATTAGAAGGTGGGACCTCTGTTAGATGATTTGTATTAGCTGAGGGCATGAGGGTGGGGACCTCATGAATGGGATTAGTGCCCTTATAAGAGTCAGGAGAGAGTTTGCTTCTTCTGTCACCCTCTTAGCCTTGTGAGGATACAAGAAAACAGCCATCTGCATTGCAGAAGAGGGCCATTACCAGAACACCACTGTGCTGGCATCCTCATCTTATACTTCCAGCCTCCAAATGGTGAGAAATAAATTTCTGTTGTTTAAGCCCCATAGTCTCTGCTACTTTGTTATAGCAGCCCAAGCTGCCTAAAGAGCACCATCTTGGCAATGGGTGCCTTACCCAGGCACTCCTTCAGATTTCCTTGAGAGACTACAGACCACGGACACTCCTAGTCCTCTCTGTCTCTCAAACACACATGTGCTCCATGAGCTAAACTCCCTGGAGCCCGAGATCAAGTTTTATAACATTTCCTACATTGGGGCACCCAGGGCAAGCTTGGGCCATGAAACTGAATATTTTAGAGAAGGGTGGTGCTAACCTGATAACAATGTTATCCTGTAGAAAAAGGCTTGGGATAGAGAGACTGAGTCTCTTCCTGCCTTCTGTGGCTTCCTGAGATGTTACATAAATGCAGCCAGTCTGGGCCTGGGTGGTCCCAGAGGTATGTGTGTAGTGGAATGGGGGTGGGGCCGTGTCACCTGACTGAGATATGCAGAGTCCACTCACATTTCTCTGGGCAGTGTCCTGACCTTTAAAAAGGACACTGGGATGAGAAATTCAAGCTGACATCATCCCGCTGTCCCACAGTGCCCACTGGTGTTGATGGTGGTGTTTGGTGATCAGTCAACCAGCATGTCTTTATTGCCTGGTAATTGTAGACCCAGCCTTGTATGTGCGTGTATGTACGTAGGCACATGTGTACATGTTTGTGTGTGTGTTTGAGTGTGTGTGTGTATTTTAAGGGGGTGGGGCATGAAGAGAAGGCACAATGCTGCTCTGGAAGTAAGATGGACCCAGGAGGAAACCGTTCACAGGAAACCCAAAAGGCTGGACACTGTCTGCTATGAGTCAGGGGAGAAAAGCATCGCTTGTCTGCCTGGAAGAGTTGAACATGAAGCAGCGTGTGCCTGCTGCCTGAAAAAGCCCCGGGTGGCTCTATGACTCTTCTTATACTTAGTAAAATGCCCGTTTACCCTGTGTTTTAAAAGTGGTCATTGAATGCTCTCCGATGGGGAAGGATTTGACGTGAAAACAGATGCAAGCTCAGACCCTGGCACATGGGTCAGCTCCTCAGGCTGAGTCTCTCCTTCTTCGTGCCCTCTCCTTCTCTGTACTTCTTTACCCCTCACTCCCCTTGAGTTAAACCCATGGGGCAAATGCTCCTCTTATTCTGCCCCTTACACAGCATTGTTTTTCTTTCTGGTGGGGAGGGGGGTGATGTGTGCAGGTATTGAACACCTTGAATGAGAGAGCCTTGGTGCTAGGCCCTGTTCGGGGGTTGAAAGGTGAGTGAGGCTCAGTCTTTATCCTTGTGGGTGACAGTACAGAACCACGAGGAGAGGGAAGGTCAAGGATGGCACTGCAGCTTCATGCCTGGGTGGCATGGGTGCTGTGAGCAGAGGTAGGGGGTGTGAGGGACAGGGGATGGTTTGGGGGCTTGAAGGGTTCATGTTTGCCCAGCCTGACTTTGGGGAACTTTTGGTAGAACCAGGGGGCAATACAAAGCACTGTCCAAGCCTTGGAATGCTTGACCTTTCTCACTGACTCTGGTGCAGACTGACCAGGTGGAATGCAGCCTGACATCGGACCCATTCTCTGTTCTTCCTTGCCCTTCCTTCACAGAAACCTGACCACCTTCCCTGCCTTCTCTGGTTATTTACTCCGGGGCTCCGTGAGAAGTACCCAAAATGCCACCATATGCAGGGATGTCTACCCAGTCTGTGGTGAAAACGGCATGAGGCCCTTTGGCCTGACCTGGCAGTGGTCCTCTCTTTTCCCCTCTGAGACGTTGCCCCCCTCCCCAGTGTGCAAGGAGGGCCCATCCAGAGTGCCCCCATCTGCCTGGGGCTGATTCTCAAGGCTCCTCTGACTGGTTTGATGTGACCTGATCAGCTCCAGTTTCCTCATCTCCCCCGACGAGGTCTGTCCTTGGATCCCAGGTTTCTTCCCTTGTCTTGACCTTGCCCTCCTCCTCTCCTTAGGAGCCTCAGGCCCAGGAGAAGCTGTGGGTCCCACAGGCTTTGCCAGTGCTTCCTTTAAATTCACTGACCAGTTTTAGCTGGTGGAAACCAGTGAGTTCCAGATTGCACACTGTCCTTCAGGCAGCTCAGCCCCCCTATGTATTTATTTAATGTACGTTAACCCACTTACTATAGGCTAGCAATGTTTCAAATTGTGGAGCTCCTACTGGTCTTTCAGGTCCTTCAGTCTTCTGATGGCAGACTTGACTGTGACGGCGGAAGGGGCGTTGGAGGCCCGGGCACCACCAGCGACCGTTTTCTTGCAGGAACCACAGTGCCAGATCTGCACAGCCTGTCTCTTCATCTTGGGTTTGCCACAGAAGGAGCAAGTGTTCTTGGCGTGCGGGCTGATCTCAATTTTCTTCACCATTTTCCTGAGGGAGGCGCCATAATGGGTCCTGTAGTTATCCATAATTATGAGCTTCTTGGTGCGTTTAGTTATGTCGCTGCAAACTAGGTTGGAACCCAGAGAAGCAGCTGCCCTTTTCTAAATGATTCCTCTGATGTACCTCTATTTTGCTGTGTATAATGTGCACTTTTTTGTCAAAATTTTTGAGGGAAAAATTTAAAAATGTGCATTATACATGGGATACAACCTGAAATACCTCATATCTTTTCTCGTGTTTTGTAATTATTTGTTACATAAAATGTCTTGTACCATAATATGTTCAAAAATAAATGCTAAAATTCCTTTATAATACAAAAACAAGTATCTGAATATAAGTAAATAGGTAACTGAATTAAAAAATTAGAACAAAAGATTTTTTCACTCTGAAAGTTTGGGCCAAAAATGTGGGTGCGCGTTATACATGGCAAAATACAGTACTCCATGGGGCTGGTTCTAATTCTTGGCCATCACTGTAATCTCACTGGTCAAAGTGACAACTGCCATCTTGTGTCTTCCCAATGGCACAAAGTATCTTTAGCTCTTCTCTTCCCTTCCCCCACTCTTTCTTGTATCTATCCGGAGAAAGGAGGGAAAAAACCATGAGCTGGGTGTTTTATATTGTTTCTGTTTCTATTTTCTCATTTAAACCTCTCTCCTCCTTGGTGCTATTCTTTTCCACAAACAAATCTGAGGCTCAGAGAGTTATCACATTTGTCCAAGGTCTCACCTGCTGTGAGGCTGAGCTGGGTTAGCAACTAGTCTCTCTGGTTCCAAGGTCCCAGCTTGAGTTTTGTTGTGGGTCAAATTGTGTCTCTCAAAAAGAAATACTGAAGTGTTAACACTTGGTACTTGTGAATGTAACCTTATTTGGAAACAAGGTCTTTGCAGATGAGAAAAGGTTGACAGGAGATCATACTGGATTAGGGTGAGCCCTAGTCCAGCAATTTTCAGCTGGTGTGCCGGTATGCTGCTGCACTCTGGTGCACCACGAGAATTTTTAAAACATGCAATACCAGACTATGTAGTCAGGGGCACCAGCTTCTTTTCCCTTAGACTGTCAAATAAAAAACATGACAACAGCTAACACAACAATAGCCACCCAGAGTGAACACTCTGTCTTGAACCATAAATATATAGGTCACTGAATAGAGTTGCATCTTATGGGTTAAGCTGCATTACAAGGTTGCATCTGATTGATTAATTCTTGGTACCAGAAATCCTTATATACAAGTATAGGCCCCTGATTTTTTTAAAAAGTCACTTTGGAGCAAAATGGTAGGTAATTACTTTTTTTGGTAAATCAATCAAAATCATACCCCTTTTCTGGTCAGACTGGCAAAAAAATATCACATATGTATTTTGGTGTGCCATAGAATTTTAGTAATTAGTTTATGTGTGCCATGAGATGAAAACAGTTGAAAATCGCTGCCCTAACCCAATGGCTGGGGTCCTTCTGAGAAACTTGAGACAGAGACAGGGACGCAGGGAGAATGCCATGAGAAGATGGAGGTGGAGACTGCAGTGATACCTCTACAAACCAAAGAATGCTACAAGTACTGGAGGGAGCGGGGAGAGACATGGAGCAGATTCTCACTCAGAACACCCGGATGGAACCAATGCTGCAAATCCTTTGATTTTGGACTTCTACCTTCCAGAACCGTCAGAAAACAAGTTTCTGTTGCTGTAAGCCACCCAGTTTATAGTCATTTGTCATAGTAGCCTGAGGAAAATAATACAGTTTCTTACATATCAGTTCAAACCCAGAATACCTCTCTTCCCTGGCATAAAACCAACAGACTTCTTCAGAACCCACTCTCAGAATCCTTCTCTCTGGGGTTGGCCCAGATCTGGTTAAAAGGTTTATTGCATGAGTCCATCCAGGAGCTGCCTCAGGAGGCGGCAGAGGCCAATGGATGAGTGAATGGCTCATTCTTGCGGCCCCCAGAGAAGGCTTTGTGGAGGCAGAGGCCTGATACAGAACAGAAACTGGAGATGTAGGATAAAGAGCTAATATGAGTGGGAACAGAGAGTAGTGCATGTAAAAGCACCTGGCATGATAAGGCATGGTGTTTATTACATTGTAGGTGGTCAATTAATGTTAGTAAAGAAAATGAAAGAATGCAAGAGCCTTGAAAGCAGTTGAAACCAGGTACGAAGCACTGCAAATGAGCTGGACCCACAGTTTAGGTAAGAGCATTGTTAACTACATTGATTTGAGTGAATGGTCAAAGGCAATAGGGAAACCCAGCCCTTAGCGTCAAAAGTCATGGATTCCAGCTTTGACTGTGCTGCTTTCTGGTTTTTGTGAAGTTGGGAAAATCATTTCTCTCTCTGAGCCCCAGTTTCCTCAGCTGTAAAGTGGAGATGATAAATGTCTCTTAGCCTACAAAGTTAGAAAGATGGAATGGCAAAGAGTTTAAAAGTGCTTTACAAACGACAAAGCCAATATGAACATAAAGTATTATTCATCTTATTATTGACTAGCCTCTTCCCCATCCTGTGAATGCTCCATACCCATTTGTACCCCTGCATCTCTGCTCATGGTCTCTTTTTCCAGCTGGAAGTCCCCCTGTGTCAGTTAGGATCAGATTTGGATACAAGTAACAGAAAACCCATGGCAACGGTGGTGTGCTTCTGTCTCATGTGATAGTCCTCCAGCACGCCAGGGCTGGTGTGGGTGACTCAGCATCTTTCCATTTTGCTGCTCTGCTGTGTGGTTGCCATTTCCAAGGTCCCTTTGTGGCTTGAAATAGCTGCTGGAGCTCCTTCATGCATCCACATTTCAGCAAGGAGGAGTAAAAAGAGAGGGCATGCTTCCTGTCTTCAAAGGCACTCTCTAGAAGCTGCCTACACCCCCTTTTTAATATATTCCATTGGCCAGATCTTAATCACACAAACACATCTATCTTCCGGAGGAACTGAGAAATGCGGTTTTGATTCTGGGTGGTCATGTACCCAGGTAAAACTCAGGGTTCTGTCATCATTGAAGGAGGAGAGGGGAATATTTAGGAAGAACTAGCATCTCTACTATTTCATTCATTTCTCCTCCATGGACCCATATTTCATTCTTCAAGATCAAGTGAAGTTCATCTGCAAAATAAGAAGTTTGTGTCACTTGGGAGTTGCAGAGCAAGTCCATGGGCATATAGAAGCTTTGCATGGATCATCTCATTTAGTCTGCGGCCCAGCTCTGTGGGATGGACACGATCATTGCCTCAGTGTTTTAGATGAGGAAATGTGGCTCAGAGAGCTGTGCAATGTCACGGGTTAGGTCTCCTGGGATACAAATTCTGAGATGGAAAGTACCAATTAGTGGGCAGGACATGCATCAGAGAGTGCTTTTGGGGCTAATTCCTATGGAAGATGGGAGGGGATGGAAGCAGGACTGGGCAGAGGGAAGCTGGGCTGCAATGCAGTTCCAATAAAGGTCTCAGCTGGCTCTCCAGGGACCTCTGGAGCTGGGACAGCCCTGCAGAGCTGTTGTGAGTTGGCACTGGCAGGACAGACCTTTAGACACTAATGCTGGTCACTCACCCATTGAACACAGGCTGCCCCCGGAAGAAGGCCTGACGTGGAGCAAATCAACCACTCTCTTCAGCTAAAACAATCCCTGAGAAGGCGTGGAGCTGAGGGGTCTGTGCTGGCAGCACCTCCGGTGCCTGCAGGTGTAAGTCCTTCCTTCTGGAAGCAGTGCTCTGGAGGGATCAGAGTCTCACATAAAGCCACTTAATGAAGCCTGCACTAGCAACAAGGGAGAGAGACAGGGCTAGAGCCAGGACATATGACTCACAGCTAAATGGTTTGCTCAAAGTCACAACTAGATAGAAATGCCCACCATTTAAGTACCTCATCTGCGTATTAAATCAATCTGCTATATTGCCTCTTTAGAGTCTCTGCTGGTACCTTCTTCTGGAAACTTTACCTCTAGGTTTCCTATGCACTGTGTTCTTTCTTCTCTCTGAACAAACTCTGGTGGCTAATAGTACTCTAGCTGAATTATATCTAGTCAATCAAAGCAGTGCTTTGTTGACGAGGTCTCCTGGGGGCTCAGCCCTCTGCCGGGTGGAATGGGACTCTGAAGACAGAATCCCGCTCCAGCAGAGATGCAGGCTGTTTGGAGAGCCATGGCCACCCCCTATATAGGCGATGATGGCAGGAGAGAGCAGCACAGTGAGGGCCGCCCTGTGAGTCCTGCCTGTCATAGCTTCCAGAGGAAGGAAAGGCCAACCGCGGCTGGATCAGGAGACCTGTGCTCACGCCTCCTCTGCGCTACCTGACCACCGCAGTCTCCTGGAGGCTGGGGCCAGATTTTCTGCCATTGGGAACCATCTGGCGCTCAGTAAGTGGGAAGGGATTTTAGGACCATACGACTGGAGAAAGATAGTCACACTTCTCATCTTAGAGATGAGAAAACAGAGGCACAGAAGGCAGTGCGACCTGCCCAAGGTGACACAGCCAGGTGGCGGTAGCCTGGCTGGATTGAGAACCTGGGCTTCCTGACTCCTGGCCTAGTCTACCACCCTGAGCTGTCCTTACTAAATGAGGGCCCAGATGCAGACTTCAGGTTGGTCCCTGCCTTCTGGCATTTCAGCAAAGACCTCAGGACTGTCACTGTCACGATAAGAGAGAAACAAAATGCCAGAGAGGGAAGAGAAGGCCCATGGAAACACCCCCCAGAACTCTATGGACCCCAGAACTGATCTCCACCGGGTTCAGCGGCCTCCTTGCTCATCCCAGGCGGTTGGTCCAAGAAAGGGGGTGAGGAGAAAAAAGTACAAAAGTTCTTTCTATCTTGGGCTTAGCACCTGGGACTGCAGACAATGCCCAGTCCACTGAGAAGATTTAGGAGGGATTCTGTAGGAAGCTTTTGCCCACCGCCTGAGACAGGCTCCCTAACACACCGTAACCTGCATCTTCCCCCTGAAACATCTTAGCTCCACGAAGCAATAAAACAGTCTGGCCTAAGTTACTGAACCTCTTTGAAGTCCTGGAGAGGCCCATAAATAAGGTAGGTACTTTGGAAGGGGGGGGCGCTCGTTTTGAGGGATCCCCAAACAACTCTTTCAGAGTCCCATTGATTTGTAGCTGCCTCTAAGTCAATTTCCTGGGGCCCATAAATCTTGATTCGAGCAAAACGAAAACGTCCTCAATATTTCTTCGATGCATTTCTTACCACTCCTTAGGAAAGGAGGAAGAAAAAAATGTCAGCATTCTCACCCACCACCCCGGAGCAGGCTTGGGACACGGCCGCGCCCACTCCTCGAAGACCATTCCGTCGCGAACCATAAACCCCGGGTAACAAATGTCCCATTTCATGGTCAGCAAGAGTGGTAACTGTCACTGGAGAAATAAAATTGAGTTATTGTTTCCAGTTTCAAAAGAACAGCAACAAGTATATAAAAAAAAACTGTATGCGATCCCTGTCCTCTTCCCCTCAGACACCTGCAGCCGTCTAACGTTTCACTGAATCCTGCCACATAAATGCATAGCTTCACTCACTAATC